TCATGTAGTGAGTGTGGAACTTCCAAGTGGTTAGAAAATAATAATGATAATTCTTGTAATGACGATGCAACTAATGAATGGAGAAAAATAATTATCCGCTAAATTTGATACTATTTTCTCTTGATACCAAAGTTGCAAATGGTGTCCATATCTTCTAAGTGCTTCATCTTTGAGATGACACAAAGATGGTTGAACAAAAAATGACATGTCAAGACATCACATGGATAGTAAAATATGGAAGGCTTTTGATTCTCAACATCGGAGTATTTTATTTAAATTTTAGTAACGCAAAACTTAGATTAGCAACTAATGGTTACGATGCTTTTAAATTTATGAGTAGTACTTAATTAGTTGTGTTGATCTCATGTAACTATTCACTTTATTTATCTATGAAACATATATATTTTATTATAAAAGAATTAAATCAACATGGATAAAGAATTAACACTCAAAACAGGAAAAATTTAACATGCAAGCTACATTAATGTGGACCATCAATGATTTTATACATTATGCAAACTTACAAGATTGTTATGTTTGTTCTTGTTGTACTGAAAATGTTAAATCAATATAACTAAATAATTGAAAAAAGCTTAGTTATATGAGACATCAATGATGCTTCAGTGAATCTCACTCCTTTAGTCATTAGAAACAATATTTTGAATAACAGCACTGTGGAGTTGAGATTTGCTCTAACTTCTAACCACTGAGTTTATTATTTTAATGCATAAAAAATCTTCATTTCACTTATGGAAATGATCAAATATGAGATTTGTTATCGTGAGCTCAAATGTTAGATTGCTCGAAAATAAACTTAGAAATGTTAAAAATAATAAAGAAGATAATCCTAAATATTATATAAGAGAAATGACTGAACTATTTTAATTTCGATTCAGACTAGATCTGATTAATATTTTCTGATTCGGTCCAATTGAGACCAAAATAAGTATAATTTTATGTATACTTTTCAAATTTTAAGTTTTCATTTTTAATTTTTTAAAAATTTAAAAATGTATATATTTTTTTCAGACCTGAACCGAATTAAAATAAACTTATTTTTCTGGTTTCCTACGGCATGAATTGAGAGCCAGACCAAATATTGTTTGGTTCAATATGATCTCCCCCTGTCTGCACTGGAACAAAAACTACCCTATTTTTCTTTTGGACTGTTAAGTCTTTTTTTTTTTTTTTTTTTTTTTGGTTATTATGTGAATATTTTGTATCATACAAAGGATAATAAATTGGTGCTTTGAAAATTAAAAAATATTAAAGTAATCTGCAGGAAGAATTTTGAGAAATTGACAAAAGAAAATTAGTGTAATAAATAGGCAAGAATATTCTAAAAGGATATATACACATAAATATATAAGATATGTAAGAATATTATAATATTTTAAAAGTAAAAGTAGTATGATACATCAGATTCTTAAAAAATGTGAATGCTTTAACTAGCCAATACATGTGGAGCATATAAGGTTCAGATATACGTGTGTGTGTGTGGAGCAAAAATACAAAATATATGAGAATATTCTGATATTTTAAAGTAAAACTAGTATGATATGTGAGATTTTAAAAGAAACGTAAAAGATTTATAGATCTTCGTTTGGACTAAATATATATATACATATATATATATATATATTGAGAGAGAGAGTATATTAAAATTGTACATACGCACATAAATATGAGGCATGCTAAAAAAAATGTATGTATATGTGGAGCGTAAAAATGAGGCATGTGAGAATCTTATGATATTTTAAAAGCAAAAGTAAAAACATATTGAAGAGAAAAGAAAATATGAGGTACGTGAAGGATTTAACTATCTGTGCTTGGAGTTTATATACAGGCTTTGTATATGTGTACATAAATGAGGGATGAGGAATCTATAAATATGTGATTTGTATGTATATTAGACCTATTTGTTAATATGGTCCCAAAGATATTTAGTTAGGAACGTGTATTTGAGTTTTTTTTTTTTTAAAGTAATGCGTAAGTTATATATAATCAATCATATACTACTGATAATGGTATATGTATATGAATACACAAAAACCAATAGCTAATTTAATAATGCATGCTTTTTTTTTTCTTCCAAAACATATATATATATATATATATATTGCTTAGGTGTTATTAAAATAAAAAATAATCCATTTTAATTCCTAATTGAAAATAATGGTGATTTTTTCATGATAAAACACAATATATACACATATATATGTATATAATCCAATAATTAAACAAAAAGAAAATATAAAAATCTTAACAACTACATGAGACTCACTAAATTACAATACATCCATTACTAGTGCATCGAGTAGCATCATTGCATTTATAATGGTTACTGTGATGATTAAGATGGTGCTTGGGAAGATTCATGTTCTCATCTCAAGTTAAAGACATCTACTATGAATTCTAATAGCTTTACTGGTTTATGATTTTTAAGCCCATTGATTTTTGCTCCACCAGATTCCCTACAGACAGGAAATTATTGATGTTTTTGATGGGTTTAGTATATGTAAATGTTTATAGAGGTGGATAGGATTGAGACATAATTAATCAGAGTAACGAAAATGTTTATCACAATTCAAGATTCCATGGCGAAGATTATGGATTTGATTACAATATATGTTCTCGATATAAATATATATTTATAATTATACATAATTATTTTATCACACACACACACACGCATATATATATAATATATATATATATTACTTTACAATTCCAATACGTACAGCGCCGCCGTAACCGCCATAACACGGAGGAACAAATCTTCCATCAACCATAATACCAACCTACCAAATGTGTTCTTCTGCTCAATCTCACTTCCTTCTCTCTCTTCCCTCTTCCTCACCTCCTCTTCTTTCTTCTTTCCAGAAACCCAATCATATTCCCTGCCAATCTTCTCAACCTTCAACCTCTGTCACTGCTCTATCTCCGACACCCATTTCCCACTCCCGCTCTCACCCTTCATGGATTGAGTCCATTCGCTCCAAAACCAACTCCAATCTATTCCACGAAGCCGTTTTAGTCTATGTTGACATGATTCTTTCGGGTGTTCCACCCGATAACTTTGCCTTCCCTGCTGTCCTCAAAGCTGTGACGGCTCTTCATGACCTCGATTTAGGGAGACAGATTCATGCTCATGTTTTCAAATTTGGGTATGGATACAAGTCTGTTACTGTGGCCAATACCCTTGTGAATATGTACAGTAAATGTGGAGACGTGGTAGATGTTTATAAGGTATTTGATAAAATAGTTGAGAGAGACCAAGTTTCTTGGAATTCGATGATTGCCGCTTTGTGTAGGATTGAAGAGTGGGGGCTTGCTTTAGATACATTTAGATTGATGCTAGATGACAATGTTGCGCCTAGCTCGTTTACTTTGGTGAGTATGGCGCTAGCTTGTTCAAATATTGGTCTCCGTAATGGTCTTAAGCTAGGGAAGCAAGTCCATGCCTATAGTTTGAGAACGGGTGATTGCAAGACATTTACCAACAATGCTTTGATGGCTATGTATGCTAAACTAGGAAGAGATGATGATGCTAAAGCTTTATTTGAGCTGTTTGAAGAGCGTGATTTAGTTTCATGGAACACGATGTTGAGTTCATTATCTCAGTGTGAACAGTTTAAAGAAGCATTGTCATTCTTGGGCTCCATGGTTTCTCAGGGGATTAAACCAGATGGTGTCACAATAGCTAGCGTGCTCCCTGCCTGCTCGCAGTTGGAGAAGTTAGATTTAGGAAAAGAAATTCATGCTTATGCCTTGAGAAAGGACATTTTAATTGAGAATTCTTATGTTGGTAGTGCTTTGGTTGACATGTATTGCAATTGCAGACAGGTTGAAAGTGGCCGCCAAGTTTTTGATAGTATCTTGGATAGAAAAATTGGTCTCTTTAATGCCATGATCACTGGTTATGCACAAAATGAATATGATGAAGAAGCATTGATGCTCTTCATTGAGATGGAAGAGGTAGGTAGGTTTTGTGCAAATGCAACTACAATAGCGAGCATTGTGCCTGCTTGCGTGCGTTGTGAAAGATTCCCTAAGAAAGAAGTGATACATGGGTATGTGATAAAGAGAGGTTTGGATGGGGACAGGTTCGTTCAAAATGCATTAATGGATATGTACGCTAGGATGGGCAAGGTAGAAATTTCGGAGTTCATATTTGATGGCATGAATGTTAGAGATATAGTGTCATGGAACACAATGCTTACAGGTTATGCTATTTCTGAGAGCCATGATGATGCATTTCTTTTGCTACATGAGATGCAATGTTTAGACAGAAAGGGGAATGTAAATGATGAATATTATAAGGATATGACCCAAGTTGCTTTTAAACCTAACTCAATAACCCTCATGACAGTCCTTCCTGGTTGTGCTGCCCTGGCAGCATTAGCGAAGGGCAAGGAGATACATGCTTATGCTGTCAAAAACATGTTGGTGTTAGATGTTGCTGTTGGAAGTGCTTTAGTTGACATGTACGCAAAATGTGGTTGCTTGAACATATCAAGAAGAGTGTTTGATCAGATGCCTATCAAAAATGTGATCACTTGGAATGTTATTATCATGGCTTATGGGATGCATGGAAAAGGACAGGAAGCCTTAGAATTGTTCAGGAATATGGTAGCAGGAGGTTCTGGTGCAGGAGTTAAGCCAAATGAAGTCACTTATATTGCAATTTTTGCAGCTTGTAGTCACTCAGGGATGGTAGAGGAAGGCCTTGACCTGTTCCACAAAATGAAAAAAGACCATGGTATTGAATCTTCCGCAGATCATTATGCCTGCATCGTAGACTTGCTTGGTCGAGCTGGTAGAGTGGAGGAAGCATATCAACTCATCAATTCAATGCCTGCTGAATTTGACAAGGCTGGTGCGTGAGTAGCTTGCTTGTGCTTGTAGGATCCACCAGATGTAGAATTGAGAATTGCTGCTGAGATCT